GAGTTATATTTTACTTTTTTTAACTGGAAGTTATATTCCATCTGCTACTTATATGTATGATAATCTTAATCATGATTAATTGAAGTTGTAACACTCTTAAGTCAAAAGTCTGTGACCTTCTCCAACCCTCCCAAATCACCTTTATGCATTTTTTGGTTCTTTTTACCCTTTTAATTGTTCATGGTTCCAATGTTTTAATCGTTTCTAAAAATTGCAGCTACATTTTATAAGGCTAATCATACTTGAAGGGAGCATGTAACGAGCACCAGAAAGATGCATAACCCCTGTTTCTGGAGAGCAAGCACATGCCTATTAAGTTATTCTGAAGCAACTTGCAGCACTTGGATTTCAACTAATTATTAAACCTGAAACAACTTGAGCAAAGAAGCTCCATTTTGTACTAAGCTGACTATCTCTGTCATATACTCTAGTTATTTCTTACTAAAGCTATTCGACAGCCTCTCATACCAGAATATTAGCACATTTATGGACTAAATTATTCTAGGAACTTGTGGTTTATTAGTGCATTGAAGCAGCTAGTTATGACCCAAAACTTGCCTCTTTGGCATTGATCTTTAGCCCATTCTAGGATTTTGTATCAGCATGTTGCATGATATGAATATGTAGCTGGAAGATAGAATCTTCAATTGAGCATCACAATAGTGGCATTTCTCCCTATTTTTACTCTTCGGTTCTGGATATAACAAATTTCATTATGATTATGTATATAAAAAGGGCAACCCGATGCACTAAGCTCTTGTTATGCGCAGGGTGCGGGGAACATTCATTCTTGATTATGATGGTTTGTGTGATGCTGAGGCTATACTGTCTAAGGTCTAATTCATTTAGAATAGCTCGTGTATATTTAGATGGTGAAGTGATCTTTCGTCTTTTGCAATTATCAAAGTACATATGCAGATGTGTGGATTATGAAGGGCCAAGATAGTATGAGTGTAAGAGTACTGATCTACTAAGATTTTTAAAATCAGAATCCCAATGATTTGTCCCAAGAAAGAAAGAAGCAACAGCCATCTAAGACTGAAAGTCATCAAACTTGTAAGAGTTCTGCTGTGGACAAATTTTCTTTGGTTTTGCATTCTGGTTCTTTTATTATCTTTTTGCCTATTAAGGAATTTTTACATTCCTATGCTACACAGGAAACCTTATTACCCTCAATGTTTAAGGTTTGACTTAATTACACTTAGTATACCAAATTACTAATTCTATACCATAATTAATTAAGGGTATAATTAATTGTACATTATTTACTCCTTAATTAAAGGAATCTGCACGTTTCTCTCTCCTAACCCCTCAGTCTCACCCACGTTTTACCCATACTCACGTTCTTTTTACCATTTTCCATCTTCTGAAACTAAATTCTCCATCTAAATTCACAGAAAATTGAAGATTTTTAAACAGAACAGTATTTACAAACGTGAAGGCGAAATGTGCACTACGAATGTGAAACAAAAGCAACAGAAGCATATGAACAACAAGCTTCGCGCAACAACATCATGATATTTCAGAAATAAAAGATAAACGGACATGCATTTTGACCAGTTTATTGTTTTTAGAAGCCTTAGTAGAACTACTTTGCTTTCCACACAGCCATTAAAAAGCCTTGAATTCAAATTTGGGTTTTCAAAAATCATTATTTGTTTTGATTAGGTGTTGTAAATAATTGGGAATATGTTTTGGAGTTTATATCTCAATTTTGAAGGGTTTTTGTGAAGATTTAGACTTGGTTTTGACTGAATTTCAGATTGAAACTCGAAGAAGAAGAAGAAGAAGAAGAAGAAGAAGAAGAAGAAGAAGAAGAAGAAGAAGAAGACATATTGCAGAAATTGTAGTTACAGTTGGATTGATCAGAATTTGAATTAAATACATCTTCGCCGCCGTTGACGGTTTCCGACGAGGAAACTCCTCTGTTCTCTACTTCTCCATTCTCCATTTCTTATTTTTTCTTCTGTTTTACTTTTTCTATTTCTATTTTGAGTTTCTTGATTTCGCACACTTTATACACACAGTTGATACATCAAAAATATGAAGTAGTTACAGTTGGATTGATCAGAATTTGAAATAAATAAAAGAGATTTTTACATCCTATGCCACATATATTTCAAATTTTATGGAAGTTTGATTTTACGGTAATATCTATAAAATTCATACATTTATCTACAAATAAACTACACATCAGTTTTATGATGTATAAAGCAATATTATTTTCATAATTATTTACAAAATTACTACATTTATACTACAATTAAACTACAATCTATGTTGAAAAAATGTTGACTACAAAATTTTTCTCTTCATCTACAAAT